TTGGCGGCTGTTATAATCGTCAAACAATGACACATGGTGGTAGCCTGATCTTAGTAAAAAATTCAGTAAACTATAAGGTAAGACAGGATATTGCATTACTATCAATAGAACACACAATTGAGTTGTCCTGTGTTGAGCTGGATAGGTATATTGTAGTATGTGTTTATAGGCCTCCTAACTTGCAGAATCTGAATTCTTTTATGTAGTTCAGTAATGGAAGATGTATTGCAAAAAACGTGCTCCAATAGTAAATATACCATAGTATGTGGCGATTTTAATATTGATCTCTTGGAAAGAAATTCTAATTGTACTAACTTGTTAAGCAAGAGGCTTAACAAGTTAGTACAATTAGATCTTTTGATTTGTCTAATGTTTTCCTGGAACCCACCCGAGTAACTTCCACCTCTGCAACATGTATAGATAATGTTTTTTGTAACTGTGATTATTTACATAAAGACATTGTAAATATATTACCATCTGATCACAGTGGGCTAACAGTAAATTTTGACACTATCCCAACTATACAAAAAAGGGAAATTATGTTCAGACAAATCACAGCAAAAAAAATTGAGTCATTTAATAACAACTTAAGTCATGAATTATGCGGCCAAATATGTGATAGTGAATACCCAAGTGAGATTTATGCCAACTTATTGTCCATTATTAAAACACAGTTTGATAAAATGTTCCCTTTAAAACGTAAAAACATTAAATGTAAATTTGTATTCTGTGACTGGGCTACACCAGGTATTCGTAAAAGTAGGGGAAAGTTGTTTGAGCTTTATGGTATGAAACCATTTAATAATAGTGAGACTTTTCACAGCTATGTCTCCAGATACTCAAAAATATTCAAATTAGTTTGTAAACATGCAAAAGCCCTTCATATTAGCAGCAAAATTAGGACCGCGGAAAACAAAATAAAGACTACTTGGAATATAATTAATAACGAGACAGGTAGAAATAAATCACGTAACGCTGAATTTAATTTAAATACCGAAAATGGACGCATCAGTACAAATTCCAAAGTTGCCCAGGAATTTGAAAATTTCTTTAAAAACATACCGCTTAAAACTACAGAAGCGTTGAAATCATCTCCAACTCTTTCAGTGGAGCTTCTTAAAAGTAATGTTAAAGAATGCCCTTCTGTTTTTCGGTTTCAATACACAAACCCCCAAGCAGTCATTAAAGCGTTTAAAGATATCAAAGTTAAGTCGACTGAAGATCTCTGGGGAATGTTGGTTAGGGTGTGTAGGGCTTTTATAGAGACTATAGCGCCTCATTTAGCTTTCATTTTTAATAAAAGCATAGATCAAGGGGTTTTTCCGGATTTGATGAAGCACAGTAAAGTAGTTCCATTGTTTAAATCCGGTGATAGCGCGGAACCCAATAACTATAGGCCGGTTTCTATTTTACCAGTGCTTAGTAAAGTGTTTGAGAGACTGATGCTTGTTCAGATGCTGCGCCACTTCAACACGAATTCTATCTTTCATGATCAACAATACGGGTTCACCAGGGGGCGCTGCACTACTGACGCAGGAGTAGCTTTGATAAAACGTGTTGTTGCCTCATGGGAAGAAGCACAGGATGCAATTGGAATATTCTGTGATCTTTCGAAGGCATTTGACTGTGTTGACCACGAAACGCTTTTGCTGAAGCTGGAACACTACGGCATTAAAGGGGTATCGCTAAATCTATTAAAGTCATACCTTCGGGATAGGCAACTTAAGGTGCAAGTAAATAAGGTAAACTCACAGGGTGCTAGCATATCTATGGGTGTACCGCAGGGCTCAATACTAGGTCCTTTCCTATTTTTGGCTTATATAAATGACTTGCCGCATTTATTCCGGAATGAACCACAGATGGTATTATTTGCTGATGACACATCACTGGTTTTTAAAATAAATAGACGTACAAATAATTATGACGATGTAAATAGTGCTCTGATGAAGGTTCAAAACTGGTTTACAATAAATAATTTAGTGCTGAATGATAAAAAGACAAAATGCATTAGATTTGTTTTGCCAAACGTTAAAAATAGCGAATGTGACATATTACTGAATAGTGAGAAATTGGAATTTGTAAAAGAAACTATTTTCCTGGGAATTACTGTAGACGACAAATTACAATGGGGTCCTCATATTACATCTCTAGCGGGACGATTAAGCTCTGCAGCTTATGCTGTCTGGAAAATCCGTCAGTTAACCGATATAGACACGGCAAGGCTGGTGTACTTCAGTTACTTCCATAGCATCATGTCGTATGGCATTCTGCTGTGGGGACACGCTACTGACATTGAGTCTATCTTTGTCTTGCAGAAGCGCGCCGTCAGAGCTATATACAACCTAGGTCGTCGCGAATCTCTCAGAGAAAGGTTTAGGGAGATCAATATTATGACCGTTCCATGTCAATTTATTTATGAAAATATTATGTATGTTAGGAAAAACCTACATTTATTTAGTAAAGTGTCTGACAGACACAATTATGAAACTAGACATAAGAATAGATTAAGTCCGCCATTTTTTAGATTGTCAAAAGTACATAAGTCGTTCATGGGATTCGGTGTTAAATGTTATAACAAAATCCCCCAAGAAATACTGCATCTAAATGAAAGAAAATTTAAACTATGTATTAAAAAAAACGTTATGTAGACAAGCATACTACAAACTAAATGATTATATAGAGGATAAAAGTGCTTGGAGGCAGGCTGGTCCGGCTCCGCAGGATAATACATGAAACACAGTGATGTTCAATGAATTCTATTGTGTAATAATATAATCATGTTGCTTAAATATTTGTATAGTTTAAAACGTTGCACAATCTATTGTAAATGTGAGAGCCCTGTAATTAATTCAATCAAATTAGACTAGTAGATTGCATTTATGTCAGCTTGGAGTTGTCATGCTCACTCAAAGATCTCGTTGGCGGTGGCACGTGCATTGGATCGCTCGATTCCCTACAAAATGGTTGAGTTGGGCGGTGCTAGGGATCGCAAAATGTTCGGAACGGGTACCGTCGATTGGAACTGGTCAGCTCCAGACTGTATCTTTTTATTTTATTATCCTCAAGGTTATTTTCTTTTTCAGTCTTTCTGACTGGATTTAGGTGTTGCATTGTTCTCACATAATCGAACCAATAAAACTATGTAACTAGAGAATTGTATTGTAAACCTGATTGAAAAAGAGTAACCTATGGAGTTTCTTGCTCGTTCTTCTCCATAGGAATCTACGCCTTGGAATGAGCAACTAGCTTCACTTATAAATTTTTGTTGTTTGACGTTCAAAAGTGCCATCCTGGTCTAATTGAAATAAATGATTTTGACTTTGACTTTGACTTTGAAGGGGGGGAGGAGGGTTAATTGGGTCTCCGGTAACCTCACACGCGACGAAACAACGCAAGCGTTGTTTCATGTCGGTCTTTTGCGCGGCCGTGGTATCACTCCGGTCGAGCCGGCCCGTGCATGCCGAAGCATGGCTCTCCCACACTTGAAAAATAGTAAGTAGTGATACATAGTAACGAATATTAATTGATACTTACACTGTCTAGTTGAATATCGTAGATGTCAAAAAGTAACGTAGATGGCGCCACTATCGTCTATTATAGTACCTAGTCTAGCCCGGAGGGGTAGACAGAAGTGCGCTATATACAATGTAACACTCACTTTTCACTATTTATGTTATGAGTCCCATGTAATAGGGAGTGAGCCTATTGCCATATACCAGGCACAACCCCAGATTCCGTGCTACTACTGAGATTTTTTTAAACCCAGTAATACTTTACCCGACCTTGGAATCGAAACCAAGACCCCTTATCCGGGAGTTGCACTTGCGACCACTCGGCTAACGAGACAGTGTTATCAATCTGGAGTTTTTTAACTATTAATACGTTTTTCAAACCAGGGGGTGCTTACTCTTGAAACCAATCTCAATGTCAATGCAATTTCAATCCAATAAAATCTCAATAATTGTTCATTGGCAACACTATACAACCACAATCGTAGCGGTTACAATAGCATTCAGAGTACGGAATATAAAGCCAAACACAATACCATTTAGTTCAATCAATATCTACGCCGTACGGATGCAATGGGCGCTAGCGTTACAACTCGAAAATACGAAATTTCACAATACCAATGTCGATCGATCGGAATTGGATTCAAGAGTAAGCCCCCAGAGGTCCCTTACTACACAGATGCGCTTGCGATCAATCGACCATGGTTCTAGTTCGACGTACTAACTAAGCACATTGTTTAAACGTACAAATGTTACGAACTTTTGATTCGATTCGAGAAATTCTTTTTGTGTTGGATAGTCTATTTATCGAGGAAGGCTATAGGCTATACCTCTCGCGTCCGGCCCTTGTCCGGGGGTCATGATGCGGAGCGAGGGGGACTGGGATGCCGTCTCCTCCTTTTGCGAAGCAGTCATGCTAGCTAAGGAGGAGGCCGGACGCGTAAGGCAGCGAAGCGCTGCCTCCTCGCAACCCAGCCATCGCGAAGGACACACCGGGCGTCGGCGATTGCAGGACGATCTCCGGCCACCGTAAGCGCGGGCCTGCGGACGGCGAGCATGGGTGGCTCCCCGTCCGACCAGAAACAGACCTGAGTGTACGGCGCGTGGCGTTCTGCACACGCCTCAACGGGCCACCACGGATAATGACCGATAGGTCTGATGCCGATACGAAGCCACGGAGAACCTAACGGGTTACCGGGGCACCGCCTCGAAGTGCAGGAGTAGGAACGGGGTGAATAAATCATCACGCTACGACCACTAGGAGCCGAGCAGCTGATCAAAAGTGTGCGCGAATAGCTAGAACCACTATAAAAAAAAAATACGAAATAAAACAAAAAAAAATACAATAATCACCTATATTTCTTTAAATACATAATTTATTGATGGAATAACGTTGCCAGTTTAAAAAATACAATTTTCTAAACTAGCAACACTGCTCAAGATGGCGACGATCACTATTAACCTTATATCTAGCACTTAGTCCCTTCGTGTTCATTTCTTGGGAGCAACCATTTCTTCCAAGGCTTTGATTTCAGCTGAAAAAGACAAAACGAAATTAAATTAATACATTTTCAGGTATATGCTTCGTTTTAGTATACGTCGGCAAATGAGCAGACGGATCACCTAATAGTAAGCAATTGGGTACTTTCCTTCATCAAAAATTAATGAAATACATTGTATTGAACAGTTGAAATAATTCAAGTCGAAAGCATAAAGTTGAACATTAGGTACTGTCCAACTAGTCAAATTCAATACTTTTTTGCGAACTGTCAAAAACTACAGTTTTCTATGAATTTTGTACGAGATTGTGTATTGTGACGACACGTTTTTTTAGCATCAAACAGCATACCTTCTTATTTCTTAAAAAAATGCTGGAAAAATACTAAAATTAAGTTGGTCATATAATCAATTAATGGAAGTTATATTTTAATATTTTATTGTATTGAACTTACAGTCGAAATAATTTATTTTTGATTAAGGAAGGTACCCAATGACAGGCAGGTGATGCTAAACACCAAGTGTTATTTTTATAAATGTAAGGAATTAAATGTTTCTTTAATATAACAATAGTTGTAATGAACTGCTCAAGTCTGATGTTGCATGAATAACATGAACGCAAAAATGATTAAAATTGTAAAAATATTTATTTTTGTCAGAGCATTCCGTTTGCTATCTGAATATATTTTCAACTTCAGGAAAAACTTAAGTGATTAGTGCAGTACTTAATATGTATGTATACTAACGACCCGCCCTGGCTTCGCATGGGTTCAATATGCATATATTATACATATAAAATTTCCTGAAGAATCACTCTATTTATTTAAAAAAACGCATCAAAATCGATTGCGTAGTTTTAAAGATCTAAGCATACATAGGGACAGACAGACGGCGGATGCAACTTTGTTTTATACTATGTAGTGATAAACTATTCCTTAAGAATCTCTTTATCTATTAAAAAAACCGCATCAAAATCCGTTGCGTAGTTTTAAAGATCGAAGCATACATAGGGACAGACAGACGGCAGATAGCGACTTTGTTTTATACTATGTAGTGATATAATAAATCCCTTTTTCCCTTGGTTACGGCATCACGCGTGAATGGCTGGACAGATTACACTAATTCTTTATTTGTTATATTAGGAGAAAGATCTTACGATAAAAAAAATCAAATCCTACGGGATTGCGTGTACGAAGTCGTGGGCAAAAGCTAGTACAATATAATATGGATTGTTTAAAGAATTTAATATTAAGACTCTCTTGTTTTTTAAGTTAAAAATTATTATTATTAATCATATCATGACTTTCAATTCCTTAGATTAACACCACTGCACTACACTAGACACAGTTTCTTTAGCATTATTTTTGCATAAATAATTGGGTAGTTTCAAAAATGAATTAATTTGATTTTTCAATCCAATTAAATATTGAAAAATAGTTACACTTTCATTCATTGTTTTGCCAATGTACTTAATTTTCGATTTATTCTAGCATTTTTTTTAGATATAAGTGTGCTATTTGACGCGAAAATATGATGACGTCATAAGTAGGGATTTTGTGCAAAATTCATAGAACAGTATCGGTTTTGACGTTTCGATAAAAGTATTGAATTTGACTAGTTGTCAACTACAATATTGGAAATTGAATGTTATAGAAACAAATTTGATTGTGGTAATCTGTGGGACTGGTTTGAATTGTATATTTCTTTTTATGTTGGGTACGCCGTTTATTGAGGAAGGCTATAAAGCTATAAAACATGGCACTACGATCAATAGGAGCCGAGCAAAGTAGTTGTAAATATGAACATACCAGCCGCAGCGATCGCCTTCTCCTTCTTAAGCTTCTCGTCCCTGATAACCTTCTCCTTGGCTTCAACTTCACGGAACTTAGCTTCCTTCTTGGAGAGCCTGTTCTGGTGGAAGGCTCCGTACAGGATACCAGCACCGAGGAACGACCAACGGCCGAACTGAAATGTTTTTAAAATATTATGTTCACTTGTTGTTTTTTAATCAGTATGCTACTCTGATTAGTATATTTCATTTCTATGTATTTAAAAGTTTTATATTGTTATACTATGTAGAATATTAAACTGTCAGACACCAAGCGGACACCGGTGACTGCAACTTATTGTTCTTTAATTGTGTCTATAAATACGGTACTCTTCGAGTTAATATTATCATCTGCCTGCAACTGTCCCACTGCTGCACACATAAACCTTTCTGATATAGAGAAGGAATGAGCATTAAATTGTCAAACACCGCAAGGACACCGGTGACCGCAACTTATCGTTCTTTAATTGTGTCTATAATGATGGTACTCAAAGGGTTAATCTGCACACTGGTGGAGTGCTAATCTCATTAGTATTTTTTTTTAAATTAAAATGTTCTAGGTACTTATATTAGTAAGATATCTAAATTGTTATTATAAAAAAAATCTACAAGTATTTTGTACTAACAAGACTGTAATAACTTAAACATCAAGTAGATAGATTATTGTGATGTATTAAATTTTTTTACTATCTAAAATAATGCTGTACGAATGGGTGATTTTTAATGAGAAATGAACAAAAGTTATTTGGATAACTTTTGCTAATTTCTCATTAAAAATAGAGAATCTCAGAGTTGGCTCTGAAATGAAAAATCAATGATGATTTAAGTGCAGATACTACATAAAATATCTGGGTATCTGTTTATATTGTTGCTATCATACTTTCCGATATAATAAAATAGGAGGTAGGTCGACAGATGGTATTAAAATAATGTAGAAACTTGAAATAAATTAAAAATTCAACCAGGCGACAGGTTGACAAACCCATTGACAAGGTTACATGGGAATAAAACCTTCTTGTTTTTACACACAACCTGGTTGTAAATACTTAAAAAATAAAAGTGAAAAACCTCTTTACAAAAAAATAAGTTCAAAAAATAAATTTCCTTTGAAAATGGAATTTTAGCTCGAAAACACTGTGTTACATAATGGTAAGATTTGTATGAAAAAATATTTTATGTAATATTTATTGTATTTACCCTGATGAGTGGCGAAACGCGCACTGGAGGTCCGTAGGGAAGCTCAGACATTTTAGTTTATTTCTATCTGGGACTTGAAAACCCAAACAGGATTTATTGAAAAATCCCAAGATTCGATTTGTCGTAGAGGTTATAAACTGGGTGGGGTTGTCAAAGTCGAAAAAGAGAAAATATAACTGTCAATAAGGTATTTTTTTGAATTGTTGATAAATAAATAAAATATGTATTTATTATTTCATTGACATGTTGAAATAATTACAGAATTTTCGGTTAAAAACTGTAAATTATACTATTTAATTTTTTTGAGGAAAAAATCAAACGTTGGTCATCATTCCTTTTAGCTGCATATACCCTTTGAAATGAGTGTTAATCATTATACTAAAGAAATTTTTTTTTAAAGATACTGTAATGCGACTTTATAATTTGATTATAGGTGAATTAATATTGCACCTTTTTGTAATTTCAGCTTTGAAATGTGCAAGAACAAAACGAAATTCTGATATTTTGACAGATCACGAATGAATGAACTATGAACCCGGTGACTTTTCATTCGTTATCAAAATTCACTCAATTAAATCAATCAATCAGTCTTCAAAATGGCGTTAATCATGTCGTTCGTGTCCGTTGCTATATCTATATTGTATACGCCGTTATTACTTTTAATATTGTGCATAATATTTCTCGCTTCAATAGGAAAATCTTTGGGTGTACGCAGATTGTACGTGAACATACTGCTGAAACTATTCGAGGTACGTAAATATTATTTTTATTAAAAAATAAAATTAAAAACATATTTTTCCTTCGTCAATAAACACGTGAGGTCATTAGAAAAAAGTAATTTATTTATTTAAGGTATCTACATATAGATTGTTCTAAATATTTCATAGGTTATTGTCCTTATGTGTTATATTTTAACTTATGAGTCATCTTTAGACGTGGATTGCAGTGTAATCATCAATAATATGAGATATCGGGATTATTTCCTCTAATGACGCTTTAAATTCGGGCGGATTTACGCCTGATACTTATCTTACCGGCTATGTAATATCTACTTAGTTGACATGTATTTAAACTTGCCATGTGTACGAATTTAGAGCCTAGTTAAAACATACCATCAGTCCACTTTTTCTTCCAAAAAAAACAAATCTGATGAAATCTCGACACCGAATGAAAAAAAAATTAAAATAATTCTAATTGAAAACTTGCAAATCTTTCTAAAAGTAATGAAAAAAAGGTTAGAATCGATGTCAGTTAATCAGAAATCTGTTTAGAAAATGATAAAGCGTTATCAATTCTATTAAAACTACTGTTATGTGACCTTTTTGGCTACATTTTTAATCTGTGGTATCTTGCCTCCAATTTTGGTCTTGTACAGATGCTTTCTATTTCATTTCTAATTGGACACCTTTAAAATATCACTGGCTAGATGAGAATTGACTTAAACCTCATTAATTTCCATAGTATCTAACTTTTACCACTTAACTTTGCCCTTATGAATTTCCCATATCCTTTGCCTATATCCTTCACAAACTCAGTACCTACCTACTTACAACTATATGTATGCAAAACTCCAATAAGATTCATTGAGTAGATGAAAAGAGAGTTCAAAAACTGATTTCCACATTTATAATATTAGTAGGATAGTGAGAAACTGTGAGGGTGAGCCTAATTCTCCAAATCAATAGTCTACTAAATTCTTTTCTTTGAATTTGAGTTTACTAAACACTTCTGTGTGTATACTTAAGAAATACTATACACAAGTATTGTTATTCCTAATGAGTGTTAGAGAACATCATGCACAGCCAGTTATTCAGTATGCAGATAAAAAAATCAAGATTGATTCAGTACACAGACAGTAGGAATTGTTATACCAAACTAGCTTCTGCCAGCAACTTCGTCGTCGCAATCCTGTATTTTCCCTTTCCCCTGGAATGTTCTGGAAATTCTTGGATAAAAAATATCCTATATCCGTCTCCTGGTTCTAAGCTTCTTCCCCACTAATTTTTATCCAAATCGATTGGGCCGTTCTTGAGTTATACATAGTGTAACACAACTTTATTTTATATAAGATACTAGCTACTTCCGCGCGGTTTCACACGCTCTGCTCAGCACCTACCGGTCGTAGCGTAATGTTTTATAGCCTATAGCCATCCTTGATAAATGCGCTATCCTACACAAAAAGAATAATTCACATCAGACTTGTAGTTACGGAGATTAGTGCGTTCAAACAAACAAACAAAAAACAAACTCTTCCGCTTTGTATAATAGTATAAGACTAACGACCCGCCCCCGCTTCGCACGGGTGCTATAGTTATGTATTATACATATAAACCTTCCTTAAGAATTACTCTATCTATTAAAAGAACCGCATCAAAGTCCGTTGTATAGTTTTAAAGATCTGCATACATAGGAACAGACAGATGGATAGCAACTTTGTTTTATACTTTGTAGTGATAGATAGGTTATAATTTTAGCCACATCTTCTGTAACCATTGGTTGGTTTAGTAGCCAATCAATTATTTATTTTTTTATTTATTATTACATATTGGTACAGTTTTACACCATTAAAATAAAACAAATTACTGTGTCTGTATTGAATCAATCTTTATTTTCTTACCTGGATACTACATAATCTGGCTGATTGTATAATATTGGTATACAGAAGCTAGGAATGGTCCAGTGCCTGCCACTTTGTTGTGAATATTATGATTTACAATTTTATTAATCTTTGTACCAATAACAACTAAATTTCGAGCTAAATTGTTGAGTATATTATCTTCAAAGTCATAATAATCTGTTACAATTCGCTTAAGTAATGACTTAAGCATATTAATAAATTAAAAAGTCAGTGATAAATAAATTTATTGCATTTAAATTATCTATACATAAGTAATATTACTTTGCTACAAAGTTATTATATACTACGCTGCCTGTTACCTTTTTTTAACTAGACCAGAACTCAGTCACTCAGGTACATTAGCACTTTACGATAGGATAGAGTAATATAACATAACAACATGCCTTTTATCCCCCAAGGGGTAGGCAGAGGTGCACATTATACCACTGTGCAATGTAACACCCACTTTTCACTATTTATGTTATGAGTCCCATGTAATATTGGTATACAGAAGCATGTGAGCCTATTGCCATATACCGGGCACAATTCCAGACTCCGTGCTACTACTGAGAATATTTAAAAACCCAGTAATACTTTGCCCGACCCGGGAATCGCACTTACGATCACTCGGCCAACAAGGCAGTAAGAGTAATATATTTAATATCAAATAACACCAAGTACAATCAGTACATTGAGCTGAATTATTAATTGTTAATTTATCAATGTTTAGCTCTCAAAGATAATAGAGACCAAATTAACCTAATTATCAATTACCTTTAGACTTTGTAACAGTTCTAGTTTTATCTAGTTCTAGGGCAATAGGACTCCTATTGGACATTGATGAGTACTTATTAGGAAACTAGAAAGAAAGACAGAAAAATAATTTTAATAAACTAGGAAAATTGGCTCACCCTCTATTACATGGGACTGACAATATAAATAGTGAAATGTAGGTGTTACATTGTACAGTGGCATTAAGTGCTGTAATGTGCACCTCTGCCTACCTCTACGGGGACAAAAGCGTGATGTTATGTTATTAGGAAACTACCTGTTGCCCGCAACTTCGTCTGCGTATAAATGATTCCTGTTTTATCCCATTTTTTTTAAGTGAGGAAAATCATCGAATGTCTTTTCCTGTCTGGGTAAGGCGGGAGGGAGTGTCAGACTCTTATTGACTAAAAACCACCCTGTTCCTACTCGTGGACTTCGAGCTGGAGCCCCGGTAACCGTTTTCCGCGGCTCCGTATCGGCATCAGCCCTATTGGGCCCCCGTCCGTATTGGTCTGATGGATCTTTGATGTGCGCGCGGTACGCGACGCGCCGTTCTCTCGGGTTGTTTTATTCCATGCGAGCATTTAATCGGGATATAAAGTATTCTATCATCTAGTCAGCTCATACCCTGCCTGTATACCAATTTCGTTAAAATCTGTTCAGTAGTTTTAGCGTGATTGCAAAATAAAAAAGTACTTACATTTTTTAATTTATTTTGCAATTTTAATATTTTATCAATCTTACTAAAACCTTTTTTTTATCAATGCTCTTAGCAAATTTTACTCTTGCTAATGTGGTTAGTGTGGTGTAGTGTTAGAACCATGCTTCGGCATGAATGGGCTGGCTCGACCGGAGTGATAGACCGGTTACACAGAAAACCGACGTGAAACAACGCTTGTTTCGTTGCGTGAGTGAAGTTACCGGAGGCCCAGTTTGATCTACCTACCAGTATGACTTAGTTTTCAATTTAAAATACATTTAGTACGGTAGACGGTCGTCGAAGGAATGGGTCACCCTGGGAGCGCCTTGTCGCACGAAATCGCATCGCAGCAATTCGTCTCGTAATTTTCTGCGTTGCGACATTTAGTACGGTAGACGGTCGTCGAAGGAATGGTCACCCTGGGAGCGCCTTGTCGCACGAAATCGCATCGCAGCAATTCGTCTCGTAATTTTCTGCGTTGCGAATTCGCATCGCAGTTTTGTGTACGAGCCCTTAGGCAAGTCAAACTTAGTACTTTTATTGGCATTATATCAAAAAACTTGTCTTTCTTTGTTTATAAGACTAACATATAAACAAAGCGATCTAAAAATAGTAGTCGTATATGTATAATACAAACATGTGCTCTGTCATTTTGTTATAAAGAACAACAAAGAAAATGTCCTATCAACAAAACAAATTAAGTCTGCTTTAGAACTCTTTGTTAGGAAGGTATTAAAATATATTTGAATGCACGGTTCAAAGCCAGCGTTTATCTAAGTGTGGGAGAACCATGCTTCGGCACGCATGGGCCCAGTCGAACGGTGTGATACCACGGCCTCACAAAAAAACAACGCTTGCATTGTTTCGTCTTGTGAGTGAGATTACCGGAGGCCCAATTGTTTCCTTCCCTCCCCAGTTTCCCCAATCCCCGAATCCCCTACGATGCTCAAATACCTAATTTCC